AATCAGAACGTTGCTTTATTGCTGAGAACACTCGGAGCGTTGCATGGCATCCGTTTTAAGTTCATTTCTCTCATGTATGAGTGGGCAAGGAAATAAGCCATTAATGAAAGCATCTTACTGATAAGCCTGAGAATCGTATTGGTACGTGAAGGAGTATGTATGAAAAATGCACACGTATAAAACCTATTGAGTGTGTATTAGTAGTGTTTACACGGTCACGGTAGCTCAATTGGTTAGAGCAACAGCACGGAACGCCGTGGATGCCGGTTCAAGTCTAGCCCACGTCGTATTTTATTTTTTACATCAAAAATTTATTTTTAATTATCTCCATCGCAATATGATCTTTGAATCGATCTTCAAAAAACGGATAATGAGGGTAGACTAGGAAAAACAGGTCTACCTTTTTAAACCAGTATAATAAAATATTGAAATTATTCGACTCAAAGTATATGGAAAAGTATGTCAAATTTATTTTAAAGTTAAGAAAACAAGCGACAGTTTTATTTACAAAAATCTTACTAAAGTCATTATTTATCGAATATAACACACGTTTAGTAAGGACTTTAGAAGGGATGTTTGCCTTGACGAATTGAGATCGATTCTAAACATAACTAGTCACTACTGATTTCTAAATTAGCCAAGTGGAGCTAAGGTTGCGTAATTCGGGGCGAGAACGAGAACTGCAAATTAGGGTCGCCACTAGTCAGCTAATTTTTACAGCTGTTCTGGCTTTGAAGATAGATTAGCACAGGTTAACACTGGCATGATATTGGTACAGTATAGAGTAACACAGACCACGCTACAATGTTGGTGTCATATTTTGTTTTATCTGCATCACTTTATAACAAATCATAACGAAATCAAACTTAAATTTAAGTTAGATCGAGCTTTTGTTATTATTATTTTATGTTTGTATTCATGAATCTACGTGTGTGTACGAAATTATTTAAGTTAATTCATAACGTAACTAGCACATAAATATCGTAAATATTTTGTAAGTTTCACTTATTCCTATATATAATAAAAATATAAGCACGTTTCAATAAAAAATACCTATATAGTTATTATAATTTACCTTAATACATATTTTGGCGGAAAAAAAAGACGAAACAGGCTCGAACCCAAGGCAACCCCAGTAACGGTTCGCTAAAATAAATTAATTTGTAATTTTGTAATTTATTGTAATTTATTCTTAATATTGTAAAGCTATCATGAAAATAATAAATAACAATGTTTCAATAATTCTTTTTGTTTTATTGTAATCGAACATTCTAGTGGTTTTACGACGTCATTAAACAATTATTATGAAATTAATTCCGTAGACGCGTAGTTGATAAATTGTGCAATAAGCAATCTAAGTTATAGGAAACCGCATGACTTCACTATAAATATGTATTACCTAAGTGCTAGGTAAGTAATGGCTAAGCATCGGCAACATTATTATTAGCCATGTGTAAATATTATTTAATTTCTAGAATATATTGAGAATAGAATGATAACAACGACACAGATTCTAAATTGTGTGGAACCTATTTTTTTTTCAGGTATAGGACGTGGGTATTGTGCCCAACGGGAAGACTGACAATAAAATTTGGTTGTCAGCTTATCTGAGAGACTTCACAAATTCTATATATACTTATTTACGTTGCCACTATAACATTAAATACTTATAACAAACTACTTTGAATAGGGTAACATTTTTTTATTATTTTCTTTTAAGAAGACACTTAAAATTGTTTTAAACAGTTAACATCAAATGCGTGTACCTTATATCAATGGTACGGAACCTTTAGTGAGTGAGTGTCCGACTTACACTTGGTCAGTTTTATAACTTAAGACGGTGAGGTGATTATGTTTTCTATGCAATATCGAGATAGCTTGTAAATAAATTCTTTTACTGATAAAATGGCAACCTAAAAACACATTTCCTTCACCGGCGACGACAGACCAAATAAGTCACACGATTTCACACCTACTTGAGATTCTGGCTACAAGAAGTCGATAATCTTATTTAGGGAGATAGCGAATGTTTTACATTTCCACCACCAATTTTGGTGGCGATTTAGAACCTGCATTTTATGGTGATGGATGTAAATGCAGTTTAGGATTGACCAAGTACTAGATTTACTTCCGATTGGCCAAGCATAGATTATAATAATTATTATTAAAGATTAGGATTGAGCAATAAAAATTATCTTAAAGATTATCCTAAGTAGTTTAACAATGTCTTCTTTTGTTAATAAAATAACCAATTTATTCAAATCATTACTTTTTGTTATTTTGTGTTTAAATAAAGTGTTTGAAAATTATTTCTAACTACAACAAGCAAGTTTAGCTAAAAAATATCGCGTTTTAAACCGTTAATGTATTTTGTGTTATTACTATAAGCAAAGCTACGAAGGTTGCAAGTTCAAATTATATTTCTTCTAAAACATGTTGGACTTCGGTCGGATATTCAATCGGTTACAGGAATATCGAAATTCTGTCGGCGTCACGAACTAACGTCCAATTACCTAATATCCAGAGCCAAAAATGGTCCGCAGCGCATCGTATCTCTTCTTATTTAAATGTTAGTTCTCATCTATGTTTCTAGTTTTTTCTATTATGCATGTTGAACAAATTGTAACGCTCTACCATCTAAAAGGAAAGCTTATCAAAATGTATCTAGAAGATGGGCATAATAAAACCAACGAGAGTGAAGTCTAGACCGCTAAATCCAGCACATACACTGATCTGGATTCTGCGACACGTTTCATTGAAAGGGGAGGTTAAATATAGACGACCTACAAATGTTTCAGGAATAAGTATATAAACTGTGTTAGAACGAACATAATTCCCACAAGATTTTGCTAATATCCAACTTAGTAGATACATACATACATATATGTTGCTTTTCAGGGCCTCATTGTTCGACGGTGGGTTCGATCCCCACCGGGTCCAACATTTTTCAATTAAATTTATAATTTGAAATCTGTATATTAAATGGTTGGTACCGTCCACAGATAATAAAGCCGTCAAGTTTAATCGCGTTTCCAATTCAATCTGTCAATTTCCGAATATCCAAAGCCAAAATAAGTCGACCGCATCTTGGCCGGGGTATACCTTCAACTGAACGCCATATGCTTGTCTGTTCTTCTCTATCATAAAAAATGACAATTCTGATAATTACAAATTGGAATAATACAGGCACACGTTTTCTATTGAATTATTACAGTATAGGTGTATTATTACGAAAGGTGAGTTATGAGGTTAGATCGTGATCTTGCATATTAATTTTAGTGCCGCTAAGGGTCGCTTACGCACGTTGTTAGTGCATATTTTTGTATTCACCGCGAAAACGTATGCAAACATATTATATTCCAAGTCTTGCTTTTATATAATTATGTTTTAGTTATAGATATTTAGTATAATTTAATTTGTCTTGTCGTTTGGCGAAATAATTTTTTTAAATGCATTTGTCACCTACTCTGTGAATGTATATATTATAAATGTATGTAAGTATGTAATTTTACGCTGGCAGACCAATAAATAAATAAATATTTGAACATGTAAAATATATCTATCGTGGTTGTAAACTTTAACGTACTGTAGCGAACGCGAATACACGCTTAACAGTTTAAAACGCGTAATATATTACTTCAGTTAATTATTATTTACTGAAAATACTCGTACTGTACATGTTTTTTCTCAAATGTAGATAAAATTGGTTCAGTAAATACTATATATAGCACAGTAAAATGAATTAGAATTTTATGCCATAATATGGCACACAAATTATTTTACACTTTACTCTGAATATAAAACAAACAGCTAATAAACAAATCTCTCTGTCTCTCTTTCTGTGTCCTTATAAAGCCAGTTATTTTGCCAAATTTAACTACGCTACATAGATAAAATAATTGGAAACAAGTTCAAATGTTGCAAATCCCTGAATGAGGAGCAAACAGGTTTCAAGCAGGGTGGTGTCGGATGGCGCCGTCTGTATTGCCATCTGGTGATCTCAGCTAATGTCCATATGACAAAAAATGAGAACATAATGTCCTTTAACATCTTTTAATTTTTTTACCAGAGTATGTCAAACAATAGTGGGATTAGTAATTTTATTTTTAGGAAAATATGAATACTTAAGGCTTATCTAATTTTGATTTAATAAATGTTATACCAGACTAATATGAACTAGTTATATCATTTTTGACCGATAGAACTAGAGAAAAATTCCAGTCTGTATACTATTTCAGGACATACATTAATTAATTACTTTTCAACAATACAATAGTAATAGTAATGACTATACGTCATTTGAATCTGACTTCTATTATATATCTAGTATAGGTATTGTATTAATATGCACAAACCAATTAAAAATCCAAATTGCTCATCGACAGAGTCAAACATGGTAAGCCTCCTACACCCAGACATTACCTGTTGTATTATGCATGCTCCACTCAGTGACTAAAAAATTCAGTGCACTGTTAATATTAATTTGCAGTAACCAGTAATATTTTAAATACACAGGTATATAGGTAATTTAATATTCTAAAGCCTGTGGAAGTATTATTTAATATCTAAAAATAGATGTATCAATTTCAGGTCAAAAAGGATCTTATTTAAGCTGAGTAAGATTCTATGCTAACTGGCAGCACAGAACATTTTTTTTTATCCTGGTAAGATTAAAATATGTTTTATTTTATATTTAGTAATAGGTCTTATATGTTTTCATGTGGCTTATGGTAGTAAATAAATGTATTTATTCAAGCATCACTTAAATAGTATTAATATGAATAAAGATATTCAACATTACAATTTATATTAATATGGAATCTTTATTTTTCTTAACATAAAAACTAAACGGATTGGTAAAATAATCCAATAATAAACAAGGTATGTACCTACCTGATTTATTTACTTGTGGTGTTTTCCATATTCAATCATGTTTTTATTGTTTCTTATCATGGAATATAATGAAATAACTGGATAAAAAAATAATTAAAAATGTTTACCTTCAGTGACATTTTAAGACAATCCTTATAAAAAACGTGGTAGTAATCACAACACAGATTAGAAAAAAGTCATTGCAAAAATATATATTGCTCCTATTTTATCTAAAGTCTGTATAAGGACTTATAAAAAATATCCAACACTTAGAATAGTAAAGCAGTATTTATTTATAGTCTATATTGTTATTTTAGAGAACCGGCATATGTAATAAAAAAAAGACACAAAACGCGTCCACACAACACCATTCACCATATTTTTCTGTTTATTTTTCCCTCCAGTCTTTAGGCCATACATACATAAGAAAAATTCGTCGAGGAATTGACAACTGACACAGGCTGTTTCACGCTTTAACAGCAAAATTAGACAGACGTATAATTTTAAGTCTGTGGGACATTTGTGGATGAGGTCTTATATGCCATAGTGGTAGATAAATATAAAAAATGTAAATAAACAATCTATCTGTTTGCGTTATTATGTTATGCCGTATTGATTAGAAATAAAAGTACAACTCTAATAAAAAATATTTAATGTGAATTTTAAAGTAGCGTCATCTTTCGTCGTAGTTGTACATGTAATGTAGATGTCACTCTTATAAATAGTAGCTTTGTAATAGTTCAAAAGTATAATTTTATGCTTTCAAGTTTTCACAATTTTTAATTGATTTTTGACCTCGTCAATTGCTGTTTTAAGATCATACTTATCACTGTGCTTTGTAATGTAGTGTGTTCGTAAATCTGAAGCTAAATTCGTTTGATATTCGCAAGAACTGCAGCGGTATAGATACAATCCAGGATGCTTTTTGCCTTTCAGAGCATGTTTGCGTAGATTCTCCTGAAATATAAATTGATATTATATTCACTAACTAACTCATGTTTTATTTAGTTTTGAAAATAATTACCAAACTGGCACACGTAAAATCACAATGGGGGCAAGAATATGGTTTTAATCCTTTATGGCACACTAAGTGTCTCTTTAAATGGCTTATTTGGTCCGTTTTGAAATCGCACTCGGCACATTCATGAACTTTAGATATTCCGTGTCCCTTACGATGCCTGAAAAAAAAAGGTACAGAGATATTGTTAGCGCCATCTAGAACTTGCAAACAAAATCATTACAGAATGCCCGGTAGAACGTTAAACTACAGGTATAAATAAATAAACAATGCTACTAGTGAAGTCTTTTTAAAATATAGAGATGGCGCTGATAATAATATTTATTAAGAAAATAATATGTCTAGTATATTAGGTATCGTAGTATTTAATATGTATCCTATTTTTGGCATTTAAGGTTATTTATTTATATTTTATTAGTTACCTGAACATCTGTGACAGCGTGCTGGCAACGAAAGTGCACTGCTCTTCAGAACATCGTAATTCAAAGACCTGGCATGATGTTGCGTGCCTGTTGAACGCCTCCCTAAGAAATAGTACAACAGGATTAATAAAATTTAACTCGACGTTGGAATTATTTATAAAATATTGTTTCTCAAATTGTAGATACGGAACAGTATAGGCTGGTGTAATAAACAGGTGATAAATAGAGACGGGTGGACGAGAATTGCATAATTTCAGGCAGAGCAACTGAGAGGCGCCAAGGAATTCTCACTAACGAGGAATGCGACTAACTGTTTTCAACTTTTAGCAACAACAGATTTATGAAAGGATACTTAGTATAACATACGATCATTATTGTTTGTTACTACGACACAGTTTAACGCAATAATATTATTTCCAATATTGATTAAAGTTGAAACTTTTGAAAGCAATTTGTACAACTGTGTTAAATTATAATGTACTTTGAAAATCGAAAATAAATTGAAAAAAATTTCGACTCGGGCTGGACTTGAACCGGCATCGTCGGGAAGCAAACAACAAAGAGCAACAGCATGGAACGCTGACGATGCCGGTTCAAGTCGTGCCCGAGTCGAAATTTTTTTCACTCTATTTTTTTTTTTTTTAAATATTAAAGTTGTCCTTGGTGCAATTTTTTAATAGCAGTTCTTTAAAATTTCGTTCTGCAATTTTTCTAGCGTTAGGGATATTTTTAGTCCAAATGTCTCTCAAAATATCTGTAGTAGAGCAATCCTATTAATAAAACGGGTTTCGCAGAGTCGTTATATAGCAACACTGCATTACGAAGGAGTTTCCCACTTATGGGACGTTATGCAGAACATCAGCGCATCAGCAATTGCACAAGTTCGGTCATCAGGGCAGTGCAAACTACCCTCAATGGCTTCCAGTCCTCGCTTACTCCTAAACTTGTAATACCGCGGTTTGATTTACAAACTTTTCAAGGCTAGCTTTGTCTCGTAGGCCCCATATCTACGTACCTTTTTATGAGTTTACATTTTCAGGTGAGATTTTGCTGCTTTAAGAAAATAGTTTAAAAGAATTATTAGGTATGTATAATGGGTATCCTCAAGAGTCCTCTGTAAGCTGTAGATTAATACAGATTAAAAAGGACGCTAGTATTATAGCCACAGAAACATATAAATTGATCACCTAATATGTCTCATTTATATTTTAATTATCTATCGGGGACACTGATAAAAGGCCTCGTGTTAACCATTCCCCCCTTTGCGGAGGACATTGGGTATACCAACTCTCTCAGTGTCCCTACAAACCTTCCGATTTCGTTGTAGAATTTTAAAATTAGTTCTATCGTTGATTCTTTAAAATTCTCTGTTACATTGTAAGTCCTTAATTGTTTTTGTCTTAATTTTGAGTACATGGAGTTATGAGTACATTTAGCTTATATTCACATTATTTATACTCTGGGCATAAAGGGTCACTGTTTATTCCCATCATTGTAAGACGTCTCTTCTGATGACAATGCCCTGTTATGATTTTTTCAACCAGTCGAATATTCGCTCCGTTGTGTCCCAATATATATTAAACAGTGGATGTGCTACGAAACAATTATACTTGGCAACGTCCTAACACATACAAATATGTCCGTATGACAGTTATATCAAAGGATTTATGATATAAGCGAACACGTCAACAATTTGACTCGGCAAATGCTGTATAATTGAGATTTATTCGGTAAACACGACACAATAACGTGAATAAATGAGATGCGAGGGGCCAAGACGGAATTATGCAGCGCAAGTGGTCAGATCAAAACGGTATTTATGGAGACGATGCACCTCACGAGATCGTCAAAGCGAATAAACCATTTGGTGTTTCGCATCAACCTGCGGTCGCTAAGACCACGTGCCTTCAATAAAATCTTACTGGCTACGATTAGGCTGTTTATAGCCTCGCAATGATGTAAAGATTTTTTTTAAATTATTTGTAAAGAGGATCATTTTTATGAGCCAATTAAATAAAAACTAAAATTCTACTGAGTTTTTAATTAATAACAAATTAATCAGATCCATACTGCTAAATTGATCTCATTCATGTAACCTCTTTAAAACTCACATTTTAATTGATAAATACTTTTCCTTTTTTAAATAAAACACTTTTAACTGTTTAGAATGCGAAATATATTAGTTAGCTTATTGTCAATTATTTTTATAAAGCCCGACGTTTGGGATGATGTACATAGGCTGTGGTGGCATTGGAGACTGAAGATAGGTGTCCCTAATGACAAAGTAAAAAAAACAGTAGCTAACCTTGCTACGCTAGCGCCATCTGTTTCGTCGGGACGTAGTTTTAAACTTTTAAAAGTGTATTGTTTCAATTGTCTACTACTCGCGTAAACTATAGATAACACTCAAGCATATTTGTGCAGGAGTGTTGTATAAAAGTCGACAACGAAAGTCTAATAAAAGAAATTGCGTCGATAATTCGCAGTCGCAAAATCGCTAGCGTATAGTCGTACATCTATCGGTGTTGCAACATCCGGTGAGATATAGTCGTCGGGATAAAAACGTCAACGCGAGAACACACAGGAGTTAGTGTTCATGTCAAATTATGTTTCCCGATATTCGTGAAGGAGTTGTGTGACAGTTGACACGGTTGCATCCGCCGCTGCGCGCCCAATTCGTGTCGACATAGCTGCGTGCGCGCATCGCAATGCGATGAGCTGTCTCTTATTTCGGGCATAGGCGAATATCATTGGTATTATGTGTCCACAATTATTGTATTAGATGAATTAGCGATTTATAAGGATTAGAAATTATACAATTATTGTTAGTAGTACGTTTCGTCATAATTATTGCTGACAAAGACAAGGTAAATAAATTGTATTAAGAATCAACACTATAATGTCAGACGCATCTTTTTAATAAAACTGTGATATAGCGTTTAATGTTTTAATTAAAGATAATCTGGGCTGAGTATTTTATAAAAATATTTTAGAATTATGTTTAAATATGTGCATATAATATACATAACAAATTTTATATATTGCGTTAAATGCTGTTATGTGCTGTTTAACGGTGTCAATATTTAACAGTAAGTAATGTTTAAAACATTAGTATTTCTACCTGTTGATGCATATGCTTGCTGTATAAATATTTTAATCTAGTTAGATTGAAAAAAATCTAAATATGGTCGCAGGTTCGAGTCCCGCCCGTATCATCTATTTTTGCTACCAACACGATTCTTAGTTTAGGTACAGCGATGGGCTCGTTGGTCCAATACATAGTTTATAACCGAAAGGTCGTAGGTGCGACCCCCACCGGCTCCAACATATTTCTAGTCAACAAAAATATCTGCAGTATATACTTTGACTGGCGATTTGGATAATGTCTATAGTTTATGCGAGTAGTACACATTTAAATAAAACACTTTAACGGTTTAAAACGCGATATATTAGTTAAACTTATTTGAAAATGATTTTTAACTTCGGCCCGACGTTTCGGTCACGGGGAGACACCACGGCTGCTGCAAAGCATTCGAAACGTCGGTCCGAAGTTAAAAATCATTTTCAAATAAGTTTAACTAATATATCGCGTTTTAAACCGTTAAAGTGTTTTATTTAAATGGCAATTTGGATTTTCTATCTGTAGAATGAATATTGAACATCCGTCCGGGACTTGAACCTCCGTTCGCAGATAAAAAAACCGTGAAGTTAAATCATCAATAATTTCTGTTTCAATCTGCAAATTTCCGAATATCCAAAGCCAAAATAGGTCGACAGCGTATCTTGTTTGAGATAATATAACATCTGGGGTGTTTCACCTACCATCAAGTGATCTCCAAGCTCCCCATTATTATAAAAAAAAATAACTTACTCATCATTAAATTTCTTCTTACACTTCTGGCAGCGGAAATCTATTCTCCTCTTGACAATTTCATTGCTATCAGATTTCTCGTGTTTCGTCTTCATATGATTACTAAGACTACTCTGTCTTGTAAAGTTAGCACCACATACGGAACAAGCGAACGGCCTTTCGAAGGTGTGTTGTCTTAAATGCTCTCGCAAAGACTGCTTTTTGAAGTCCTTATTGCATAGAGGACAGGTATATTTAATTGTCCTCTTGTTTCCTTCTAGAATTATCGGTTTCGTGTGCAGCACTTCGTGGAAGAAGCATTCTGCTTGTGAATCCGTGGTGAAGAGACATTGGCTACAGTTCCACAGACCTGGTCTGTTAGAGTTAGGTTCAAGGAAGCAGGAATTACTTCGAATGTGTTGAGTCACTTCTTGTGAAAGAATAAAAGCCTTCCCACACTTGGAACATCTGAAAATTCAAGAATATGTTTAAAAAAAAAGAATTAATTAATTAAAAGAGAAATAGATGAAACTAGAGAAGCATTAATGATACAAGAAGTATATAAACTAATCTGTCTTTAACTACAATTCGACGTTTTGAATCTACATTCCTCCATCCATTGTTGAATGTAAGTAAGTCTTGTCTGTTCGTCACAAAGTAGCGATGGTTAGAAAAGCAAAGTAAAAACTAATCCTTACTTTTTCTTAATGTTTGGATGAATACATTTCACGTGATCACGAAGTTCGATAATGTTTGTCAAGAACAACTTTCCAGGACAATAAGGGCACTTTTTCCGAAGGTCTTTCGAGCACAATCCACGAGCTATAAGTTTCTCTTTTGTTCGAACTCTATGTTCTGACGTTCGTCTATGCTGCTTCGCTTCTAACGAAGACTCAAACACTTTTGAACAAACGAGACAAAAGAACACCTTAGCTTTGTGTTCTGATTTCAAATGTGAACATAACGTCACAGACGACTTAAATTTCTTGCCACACTGTTGACACTTGTGCAGTTCCTGATAGAAGTCTGTGGTTGTATGTGGCACCGCGTGCCCCGTTTTCTCACAGTGTTTTTTAACTTCGAAGTTGTACCGGAACTCCAATTCGCACGTCTGACATTTAATAATCGCTTTCTTCCTGATTATTATAGGCATCGATCTATTGATGACGGCCACGACTTCCGAGTGTTCAGAACTAGATAAATGATCTAGCATCTCGTGGGATGCGACACACTCAAATTTACAGAAAGAACACCAGAACTTGCCGCTCATGGCCGCAACGTTTATCTCGTGTTCTTCAGAATACCAATGATGCATAAAGTTGGAGAGCCAATTGGTGTAAAACTTGCATGGACTGCATTGGAACGGTGATTGATGGACTATAGCGTCCATGTTATCCAGGATAAGCTGTTTGTAATCATCACTCTTTGTGTCTGTGGCCTTTCTAAAGTGATAGTGTGATATCAGGTGTTTGCCCATTAAATGTAGCCTGACACGCGACTTACAACCGGAACACTGTACGAATAGTGGCTTTCTTTTTCTTTTCTTTTTTATAACGGCATCTATCTCGCACTTCTGCTTCTGCTTTTGAACTACGCAGGTGTTACTCAGTGCAGAGCGTGTTGAACGTTTCTCTGTGATATTTCGCAATGGCTCTAAAGGTCCCGCAAACTCCAACTCGTGTTCTGGGAGGACCTTCTTCATGTGCAAATTGGACATTAAGTGTTTATCATAAATAGCTCGAGACCCGAGTCTACGATTACAAGGGCCACACCAATATTGTACCGAGCCTTTTGATTGAATAGTTGTTTGCATTATTTGAGTCTTTTCGTGCCCCGGTATCCATTTGCCTTTTGTATGGCCAGGGGGTGGGGCATCGTAATCATCATCTCTTTCATGAGATTCAATAGTAAGCGGTTCCCAAACATCATTTTCTGGCGAAGCAGGACGCCATTTGCCCCCCGTGTAATTGGGTGGAGGTTTCCACTTCGCTCCATGCTGAGTTTCTTCTTCATCTTCGTCTTCCGAATCTTCTGATTCCTCCAAGTCGTCGTCAGCTTTGAAATCATTATACGTGTTGATACTGTAAGAACTAGCTGGTAGATCTTTCTTCGCCGCGCCACTAATACTCGCCACGGCCTTGATTAGCTTCAATTGGTTATCTTCACTTGTTTCCAGTTTCAAGCTGTGTCCACCTATCCAATCTTCGCCTCTTAAATTATTTTCTAAAGGACTCATACGGGGTATATCTCGCGATGTTGAGGCGATTGTCAAGGTACTCTTTCTATCCGAACTCGTTTTGTAAATCGGAGTCGGAGGCGTTAATCGGGCAAGCGATGATGACTTCTTGACACTGCTTTGAAGCTCTAGCGACTGAAAGAAGACGTCAGCGCCGAGGCTGTAGGAAGGTTCTAGAGGATCGATGGTTGAGATCACGGTTTTTTCGGCGTTTTTCAGTTTTCCACATCTCTCCTTTCGGTGTTTCACGTAATTGTCGAGGCCGATGATTGTGGCGTTGCATTTGATGCAGAGGTGGCTATCATCGTCGTCTTCGTGTGGAGAAAGCATCTGAAAAAAAAAACAAATAATAAAGTGATACATGTAACTCTAGAAATATTTATTCAAAGTGTCAGCGACTTCGTCTCGTAGAATAGTTATTTTAGGCATTCAAGTTTATTTTGCAAACCTTTCCTCTTTCGCTTTGATCTTTATAAATTTAAACTGTTACACACGACGTCGATCGCGTCCCATCGTTCTGGTTTATTTAATCTTGAAGACAGGCATATAGTTCGCAGACATCGTTTTAGATTATTTAAGAGAAATCATTCTTTTGAAAAGGATTGGAATCCCACAAAGATTAATAATGTTTCCCGTTTTTTCACATTTCTCAATGTTTCTTCGCTTCTATTAGTCACAGCGCGATGTTTTATAACCCGTTATTACTTTCCTTGATAAATGTTCTTACCAACACGAGATAATTTTAAATTCAAACCAGTAGTTCCTGAGATTATAGCCTCCAAACAAACAAAGAAACAAACAAACTCTTCAGCTTAGTATAGATAAGTAGGGCAGTCTTGAAGGATAATAAGTCAACCGGGACTATTTCGTGATGCGCAGTACCTAATGTATGCAAGCAGTCGAGGCTCTCATTACAGTACAACTTTGTTTCGCCATAACGTCGTATTTGCATAAGACCATCTATCACTTATTAACTTGAAGTCAGAGTGAGTTATGAAAGAATTTGATTATTGTTCGCTGACAACTGGGTCGGAAAACGTGGGGAATTGCTGCAATATGACAGTAGTTTCAGCTATAAATCACATTGTTTCAAGAAATATTGTCTGTTTTGAAATGGAATTACCGTATTTAATGAACGCTGCATTGCTATGTCTGTTGTGTTTCATGAACTTAGCACAAACAAAACTTGTTTTTTATTTCAAGTATACATTTTTCTAATGACGGTTGGTTCTACCTAATAGGCAAGTGCCCAAAAAGTAATAAAAGCCTCAGAGAGAGAGCGGGGCGAGCCGAGTCTCCCCTTGACCACGGCTGCTGCAAAGCATCCGAAACGTCGGGCCATGGTTAAAAATAATTTTCAAACGGGTTTACCTAAAATATATCGCGTTTTAATCCATTAAAAAGGTTTTCTTTAAATGTGTACTACTTGCGTATACTACAGACAGTATTTAGTAATAGGCTTCAGTTAAGCCTAACAGTAGTAATAATAAAACTCAAAGGTTTGTGAGTTCATCCCCCACATAATTTTTTATACAACATATGTACTTTGTATATGATATTTGCAACATTAAATGGGTGGTAGACATATCATAATTCTGCCAGATCACGAAGACCACCCACAGATAGAAAGCCCTGAAGTGTAATCGCGTTTCGGTGTCAGTCTTTTGATTGGAAGTGAAAACAGGTCGACAACGAATCTTGTCTATCGTATTGTGGGGTATTGTTGTATATCACCTTGCATCACGCATATCTGACCACTATCTAAAAAACTTTGACTTCTATCATCACTTATGAACAAGGCGTTCTATATAATTTCTATAATTTTGTGTAAGTAGAATTACTGTAAATTAAGGTACTTGAATGTTTTCGTGCTCACTACAATAGCGGTTCTTTTGTTCTACTTAAACATAATACGCTGTATAGTCTACAGGGCGACCTTTGGCTTTGTAAGACTTGTCAATTGCGATTTCGGCGCCTGATACCATTGACAAACAGCTGACAAATGAGTGGTGATAAATGAACCCGCTTGTAACATTCGTTTATATTACCGCTTTTTTGAAATTAACCGTCTATCTGTTGTAATTAAAATATTATACATGAAATTGAGATTGGCCGCTAGAGCCATAGTAACCTAACTGCAATTTTAGGACTTGACTAATTTATATTTTTATAGTCTAAAAATATTAATATAGAAGAGCAAAGAGATCAAAAATTTTAACATAATTCTTACACAAATAATCATACAAAGTCATTTTCGCCTGAGTTAATTGCGTATTTTTATTTTCCTTCGTATAGAAAATCATTTTGTTCATTAGGCCACTCTGGCTCTAGCAGCCTCAATCATTCTAAGAAATGGAGTTAAAAATTGTTTTTATTCTTAAAATTTGTTGTAACTAACACGATGCTGTTCTATTAATGATTGTTGTAACTGTGCCTCGGTCGACATAATTTTTATTTATATACAGCAATCATATGTACCAACGTAAAAAGTAGTAATTATGGGTTAATAAAATTAATAATATAACATACTTTTTACTAAATATACTTTATTTAAAAAAAAATAAGTTGCATAGTAATTAAAAACCCATTTCTTCCCTAGGATTCAAATACGTCTATAGTTTACGTAAACAGTACACTTTTAACGATATAAAACGCGAAATATATTAGTTAACCTAATTACAATTGCTGCTGCAATTCATTTGTTACATCGGGCCGTAGTTAAAATCATTAATTAATATATTTCTCGTTTTAAGCCAATAAAAATGTTCTATTTACACGTTATGAATAGTATGAGTAACTATTTCTCTTGGTATAGGTATACACAATTTACCAGTCTAGCTCCCATTGAGATTCCTATGAGATGACTAAAGTTATCTTTCTGTATAATAAGCTGGGAGGGTGACATTTGAAAGTCAAAAGCCTGTTTAGTTATAAAAAGCACAGACATTGCACGCGTTGATATCTCTTCGTCAAAGGCTGTCGTCCTAATAACGACTTTGCAATCGATCCGCCCCTCCCGTCACCTTAGCACAGTTTAGGACAAGAACGAAATGACACGACATATTCTATACTATAGGACTAGGACTGGGTGGGAAAATATGCAGAAAATACAATACTGTGGCTAAAATAAAACACTCTTAACGTTTTAAAACGCGAAATATATTGGTAAACTTATTTAAATTTTACTTTAACAACACCCGTTGTTTCGAATGCTTTGTAGCGGCCGTAGTCACAGAGGGCAGTGGTTATGGTAAATTGTAAATACTGTGTATAGTTAACTAATACATTTCGCGTTTTAAACCATTAAAATTGTTTTATTGAAATTATTTACTATACATATAAGCCGCAGTGCGGTATCATCATAAACACTTTTAACTGTTTAAGACGTGAAATATGTTAGTTAACTTATTTAGAATTTACTTTAACTACAACCACTTATAATTCGCGTTTTAAACCGTTCAAAATGTTTTATTTGAATGTGTACCACATAATTTAAAAATCGAAAAATAAATTGAAAAAAAAATTCGCCTCGGGCAGGACTTGAACCGGCTACTACATGCGTAAACTACAGACAATACTTATTTAAGAGTACTGCCAGCTAGGATCCCAGACCTGACCAAAAGATGGGCGGTGCGAACAGTGACGCGACAGTTCACGCGACTTTGCGCTCGTTTGTTCGTCTTTCGGTTTTTTAAATTGTTTTAGAGCTAGACGCGTTGGCGTTTACAATATCGAGTGTTCCGTGGCCAGAGTAACGTTGTTTTAAATAAAAAAAACCCCAAAACCCCCAAAAAATTTTTTTTTTTGGCTTTTTTCCCCCGGGGAAAACCCCCGCCGTTTGGGTTTTTTTTCGTTTTCCGTTTCGGGTCTAACTCAAGTCTAACATATAAATACTATAAATTATGTAGTTAATAACTTAAGAATGTATCGGTTAATATAATTACTTTTTGCTTCATCAACACAATCTCAATACAATTTATAACTATCCCAAGCAAACATCGAACGAACGTAGACGAATCGCTCGAGCCGGGTCCATTTGTTACCGTGGACGCTGTATTTATTGGTGGACGCATCCTAACGATGACGAATACAAGATACGTAAACCCTTTTGACTCGTTGATATATTCGTGCGCATGCGTGGAATAAAGAACGCAACGGGGTGCGCCCGCGTCGCGCCGTGATTGGCCGCGGTAACTCTCGTTCGCCGCTGACGCAAAATAATGATGGCTGTACACATAAACCAATGACGGATAGGCCGCTTTTTCAATGCATTGTGTGTGTAATATACTTGTAACAGATACAGATCTCTTGCATTAAGGCGAGCTTTCGCTTGATTGGTAAAACAGAGTGCTTAATCCTCGCGCGCCACCTAATTTATTGGTATCAATTTTTAAGATAAGTTACCTGGACGTTCCGCGAACCCTGATTTATGGGGTGCGGTTTGTTTTCTCGTCGACTGATGCGGAGGTGCTTCGAGATCTCGGGGTGACCTGAGTATGAAAGAACCTTGAAGCACTATTCTCAATCGTGATTACTTTTGCGCGTCTGAACTTTGTCTGATAGGATGTAATTTTGACAATTGACAAAACTGGTGAGACATGGTGGACCGCTGTCTGTTTGAAATTAGTGCACTTGAATGCAGATCAAAAAGATCCGAGTTCGAAACCTGTGTCCGACGAAAATTTACGTCTATCGTCTTCTGTACTAGAATTATTGCCAAACAACCACGTCAGGTTTATAAATTATGGTATGGTTACCTACGACGTCCTCCGCGTTTCTTTGCGACCCGTTCCGTCGTTCCTGCGAGTTAAACTTAAAGGATAGATAGAATCATTCTTTCATACATAGTTTTTGGGTACCTTGAACCTTTTTCGCAGTAAAGGCAACCGAAACTCTCGAGTCGTTCCTGAGATTAGGGGGTTCAAACAAACAAACTCTTTAGTTTTATAATATTAGTTCAGTATATAAAGAAATCTGAATTTTAACTGAAATTAGAATAGTTAATATTGATAGCTTGTTTAGCCGTGATAAAGAATGCTGGTTCAATGTAATGAATCAGGATTCAGGAGGTCCCGAGGGAGACATATGTTTCGCTTGACCAACTAGCCTTGACTTGGATAACGTGTTAGTTAAGCTATAATTTCACATTGCTCGAAATAGAGGGCAGATGGCATTCAACAAGATATTAAGTAATGAGGGTAGTTTTTCCAAGATGGCCGAAAAGTGAAGACCAAATCGTCTTCGAAGTTTGAATTATCATTTGAAAGCTTAATGTATTTCATAAGTTTGCACATGATGACATTACATTAATTTAAAAATCGACTTCACGAGACTTGAACCGGTATCTGTGCTGTTTTTCTAACCAAGAGAAAGCACGGCTGTGTCGTTTTTTTAATTCTAATATCGAAAGTTAATTTATCTTTTATTTAATTAATCGTTACAAGGAACATGTAAAAATACAGACATTGTTTTAATTAAATACCACCACCAAATAGCACCACGGCTGCACACAGCATCCAAAACGTCGCGCCGAAGCTAAAAATCATTTTCAAATAAGTTTAACTAATGTATCGCGTTTTAAACCGTTAAAGTGTTGTGTTTTTTACGATTCGCTTTCGCGTGAAACATTGATGTATAATTTCTGATTCTGTTTTATGCAAATAATCAACTTAATTTATGTTAAAGAACTATATTTAAGTATATACATACATTAATACTAGTTATATGTACTACATATATTTTGATAGCTTACAGTACTATATTATAAGGCACAGTTCTGTTAAGTTTCCTAAATAAAAAAATATATGTATCAGTTATGAGGTGTAGCAGAAATTATAAGAGTAACATAGCCAGGCTAGGTGGGGAGGGAATCAATTATAGTTCTCATTAGATTTAGGCGTGGTTTCCGATTTATGGCCGAATGGACGCTACGCACCTTTTTGCATACCTCAACTTGCATTCCGTAATATGTTATTGATACAATCCCCTTTTATAGACCGATTGATCTAGGCTGTTATAGTTTTGGAAGTAAAAAAATCTTTATTTAAAAACACTTTTAACGGTTTAAAACGCGAAATCTATTATTATTAAGTTAAATTATACAATTCGCGTTTTAAACCGTTAAGAATGTTTCATTAATATGATCATTTTTATTTTTAGTATCTATTAATTATTTATTTATTGAAATTGGTACGCACTTATTTTAATAACAAAACATTTTAATGTATTATCTAAAACAATACACTTACATTACATTATTATAGCATTAAACAAGAAAAAGACGACAACTAAACAATATTAAACATAAGAAAACGAAGAAAGACTTTATTAAATATTATTTATTAAGTAAGCAAAATAATATTGTTTACTGCAAACGTATGTTATGATAGATGAAATATACAATTTATTTTATTAGAATTATATATTGGATGATGTTAGCACAACACTAAATGTAGGTTTAGTATTGAGTATTGAATAATTGCCGGCAGCAATCTGCATTCAGAATGTAGAGATATACCACAGTGAATTTAAGATGGCGATATTTTGTAATTTTATCATTAACCTTACCTCATGTTGATATCTATTTAATAAATAAAACAAATGTATACTTATACATTCTTATTTATTATTAGTTACTACAAATACTCGACCTTTCAACTGCATATATATTATCATTACAAATCTAGTATAAAATACTGTTTTTAGTTTACTCAAGTATTACACATTTAAATAAAACACTTTAACGGGTTTAAAACGCGATATATTTGTTAAACTGATTTGAAAATGATTTTTAACTTGGGTCCGACGTTTCGGATGCTTTGCAGCAGCCGTGTTCACGGGAAGACCACGTTCAGTATTTTCAACTAAGTTTAACTAATATATCGCGTTTTAAACCGTTAAAGAGTTTTACTTAAACCTAGTATAAAACAAAGTCGCTTTTTCTGTCCCTATGTGCGCTTAAATCTTTAACACTACGCAACGATTTTGAACTGGTACTGGTTTAAACTAGACAGAGTTATTCAAGAGGAAGGTTTATTTATATATATAATATTGACAGATTTTTTGTAGGATATTTTGTATCATTAAATAAATAAATTCTTTTCTATATCTTTTCTCCTGTACTTCTGGTTGCCTGAAATAGATCGCTACTTAACGATAGAGCCTATATTTATAAGTTTGTACGTAAGATTTTTCCTCATTCATATTTATTTTATGCAGTGTGTTTTATAAATAATAAAGCAATAATAAATAAATAAATGTCAGCACCCGAGCGAAGCCGGGGCTGGTCGCTAATAAGTTATAAAATAAAACACAATCGTATTGTATTTAAAAAAAGAATGCGATTACAAGGCGATATTATTCTCTTTTTTAGTCCGTCTATCGACGATCGAAACGGATGGGATCAGTGCGAGTCGATAAATCAACAGTGGCACAATAACAGCAAGATTTCAATTAAACATAAATCTCTTGCGACGGCTGGCTAATGGAGTTGGAACTCAAACTCACGGCCCTTTGCAATTACATAGATGCTTATAGGCCGACTTTATTTACTGCTAATTCTTATTGCAACTGGAGTCTACCGCAGCTTAAAAAAAATCTAATTAAGCTAGAAATATAATAATGCAGTTTTAGAGATAATAGTAGTGTTTAAAACGGTTAAAACAAGGTAAAGAAAAATAAAAATTATTAGCAGAGCGTGGTTTCGATCCACGGACCTCTGGGTTATGGGCCCAGCACGCTTCCACTGCGCCACTCTGCTCTTGAGTGACAAGTTGAAATTATGGTTCATATACATTTACAATGTAATTTGTTGAACTAATATTAATTTTGCAATATAACTAAATTAACAATTCAAACGCATATTAATAGAAACACATAAATATTTTATAATGCCAAATACCGAATAAAACATCGTTAATTTAACGAGACAATTAATTATTCTCATCACATTTATTTATGAGAATCAAAATTTAATAGGACCACACCGTTTTATTTATATTATTTACAATTCAGATATTATCGCTTATCAGAAATCAAGAGATAAGATGTAGATAACGATTAAAATCGGAATATATAACAACTATTTCGTCGGGTTCATAAAAAATATCCTTTATAGCGATTGCCTGTCAAACGGTCGCAATAAAAAAAAATTGAAAACTTGTCTTTGTTCCGAGCGAGGCCGTGACGTGCTTATTAAGAGGGAAAATTGAAAATTGACTCGGCGAGATGATTGGCAAGGGAATATTAGCTGGATGCAATTTTATCGGGTTCTTTGTTTGCGTTTTTAAAGGAAACTCTCGGGTGACGTTAATCCATCATTTTGGCGCGCGACATTGCATTACGCGGGAAAACATGGCGGTCGGTTTATCTGTCGATTGGTTGATATGGTATATCTTGGAAGATAGTAATTACAATACTTAGTATTAGTCATATAATACAGACGGGACTGCCTTTAGTAAATTGTACAAAAATACATACATATCAAAGTATTGATTAAAGACTATAGGTCATTTTTGACGGGTTTGTTGGCCTAACTCCTAATGAACTCCCCGTTCTCACATATTTATAACTCATTTATAATTTGTTGTTGTATTGAAATGAGTGGTGAGCTTCTTTCCAGATAAAAACGTTTAAAGGTAAATCGCTTTTTTTTTAGCTAAGAATTTTCGAAAATCTTTTAGGGCAGGGGGGTGGGGTGGGAGTGGGGTTTTTCACCATCAAGTACCCGTGCTTGTCTGTCCTCCTCTATAAAAAATCAACATAGATTTAAGTCTATAAGAATTGATTAATAATTATGTAATATGCCAATGTTTATGTATACAAAGTATAGATGGCGCCACAAGTTTAAATGGTGCTTAGCAAAATGCAGTTTATTTTTATTTTCGTTATTCAGTTATTTATAACCCAGTAAGTGGTTCATTTTTTATTTAAAACTGTAAAGTTGTTTTTTTTCGCCTTATACTATTAATTTATGAACTTTATAAAAATTTATAGATTTTAAAGTTTCATACATTGAATAAAAAGTACCTACGTTGTATTTAATACTTAAATTAAAATGTCTTCCTCACAAATTCAAAAGTAATTTGTATGATTGCCATCAATTGTGTTCCTTCATACGTTAATAAATCAACAGCATAAAGGAGTTTTCACTGACGTGATGCGAAAATAAGAGAGCGACGCGAGCGCCCCTAGCGGCGATTGCTCGTCACAGCTGCGTTATTACACGTTCATTATTTGCGTTATTTCCAATATTTCCCGCCATCTCATTACTCCAGACGACATTACTAATCCCGGGAGAGGCTAATGGATCTGCTCGTGTGTCTATGCGTGTATTGAAATGACGTATCGCGTACCTGAGGGCCCGAAAAAAATAACATAAATCATGACGGCTCAACTATAAATAAATCGAAATCCAATAATTATGAGCGGTGAGGCCACAAATCAAGCGCGCATACTAATGCCGTTGCCTAAGATCTGATTAAAAACATCAATACTTGTCAATAGAGCCTCCCATGTTATTATATTCAACAATATGGCGGGTGTTTCGACGTAATAACTAATAATTGAAGGATCGTTTTAATGAAGAGTATTAATTGCTGCGCTCGCGCACCACAGATTATAAAGGTGTACGATAAGTCTTGTGTACCTACTTATAAATTGAGATTTTTAATTATGTAATATACATAGCTTACGCGAGTAGTACACATTTAATAAAACGCTTCAAAACGCGAAATGTATTCGTTAATTTATTTTAGCTAACTTCGTGCTCAAAAGTATCTGAAACGCCGAGTATTAGTTAAAATAAATTGTAAATAGGGTAAACGTTTCGAGTTTTAAGCCTATAAAAAAAATTTTTTTTGTACTTTTGGACTTAAAATTCCCGTTTTGGTTTAATTATCCGTAGTTTACGGTAGTTCGCATTCTCAACCGTTAAAAAGTGTTTTATTTGATTTTTTATATATAATTAATGAATAAAGTATTACTTGAAATGTAAATATTGTATGTGTCCTAATTGCTGAATTATCCACTATTTATAAAAGTAAGCTGAGTTCTTACAACGGCTAATAAAAGACTTCTTAACGTAAGGCATTAACAATTAGCACGGCTAATACACAATTTAAAAACCGAACAAACAAATGTATGTAAATTGCGCAGATCCCCTACCATTTTATTATAAACAAGGTATTTAATAAAATAAACTCTATTCACTTGCAATAAGAGATAAGGAGTAAGAAGAAGTAACGTTGTTGACGTGTGAAGTCGAAACAAACGCGTTCAGAAACTGCTTACACGAATTAGCGCATCAAGGGGGTGGGTTACAAGAGGGGGCGAAATTAGAAAACTCCGTTACCCCCTCCCCCCCCCTTCGCTCCGCACGTCATAAAGTGACAATTTACGATAAAGGTCGGATTAGCTGCCTCGCTGTTTGTCTGTTATGCCGCGGCGGGATCGTCTGTTGTTTCAATTTCACTTTGCAGGCGATACGTAACGTGGGCTTTTAACTTTTTAACTCAAAAATCTTTGAGTTAGTAAGAATAGTTTGCAATGTCGAAAATTCGTTGGTGTTATACTAATATATAAAGCTATAGAAATGATTTGTTTGTTTTAAGGTAGGCTTTAAAACGTTGGGCTTAGGCTTGACTATAGGAGCGAAGAGACGGCGGGAAATGTAGAGAAAACGGGGGAAATTATTTAAAAAAAATCTAACAAAGAATGATTGCTCTATATTAAAAAATACCTGTGACATTATATACAATACTATATAATGTTAACAACTTTAATGAAACACTTTTAATTTCCATCTACGGGGGGAGTCCCCCATGACCATGGCTGCTGCAAAGCATTCGAAACCTCGGGCCGCAGTTAAATTATAATAAGTTAGCTAAAAGATTTTGCTTTTTAAACCGTTAAAATTGTTTTATTTAAATGAGTACTACTCGCGTAAACTACAGACGTTAGAAATTGTTCACATACACAATGTTTAGGTATGTACCTAGTTTATAAATTTTTAAGTTAACCAGCATTTCATTCAATCAGTCGCTTAATAAAAGGTGGCGTAATGTGGAGGCAAGGGACTAGCGAAGGTGTTTTATTGTGAAATTAATTAGACTGAAATCGTTTGTCCGTCCGGTCGTTGTGTATAGATATAATATATAGTTACGAGGCACCTATTATTACCTACATAGAGTAAAATTTTATGAAGCTCCTACGAAAGAAAATAATTCAATTGTGAATAGTGTACCACGTTATTTAATACACAAGAAATAAATATGTTTTAAAAAATAATTTTTAATGGCTTAAGGCGAAAGATTTATTTCAACTTCGGCCCGACATCTCGGATGCTTTGTAGTAGCCGTGGTCATGGAGATAATAAGCCAAGTGCATTTTTAAAAAGACATGATCGCGAATATGGCACGGTTTTTGAATTCGCAGATCAACAACAAATAGCTGTAAGTTCGAGTCCGGTAAATGTTTTGTAATATTTTTTTTTAATCTACAGTATCAATGCTTAAGGTAGAAAGAATTCGAATTACATAACATGTAATTATATATATGTATGTAGTCTATGTAT